GAATCCCACTGCTTCTTATTTTAAAGCTCTAAATTTATGGTTTTGTAATTTGTTGTATTTTAATTATTTTCTCCTTTTTTTTCATTATTATATCACAACTAACAAAATACTAAAATGCATGGAATAATACTATTTTTCATGTCATTGTAACTCCCCCTCACAATTTACTAGGTATTCCTACAATGAATTTTTTTTATTTGGGTTATTGAATTTTTTTTTCATCAATTGTATTTTTTTATAGCTAAATTTAATGCCAATTGCTTCAATTTTAATTGGTTTAAATAATAAATTATTAAAAATGATTAAATCCATGAATTGGATTATGTGTTTGGCTAATTAATCTTGTGAGCTTATATTTTTTATTATTATATAATTAAATAATAAAAAAATTTAAAAAGTTATTGAACTTAATTAAATTCATAATTGAGGTTACGGGTTTGATCAGTTAACTTTGATTTTGATTGATTAAAACTAAAGCTTATTAATTAATTTTGGTTGCATTAATAATTCGTAAATTATTTAATTAAATATTTGTATAATTTTTAAATTTAATATTGATTTTTATATAAGAAACACGTATAAAATGTTGTCATCTTTAGTTTTTATGATTAAAAAAAAAATTATCTAACCCCCAAAAAAAAAGTCTAACAGCTAGTAAAGCATTTATATTTCGTGGGCACACCCTGTGGTGGATTTGCCAATTAATCTCGTGTGTAAAGTTGTGATTATTTTTCCATTAAATGAGGTTCGGACATCAACAATTATCACAATAATCATAGTTTTCATAATCGAATTAGAAAATGTTTAGATCGTTGGTTTCGTGAGTTAGATCAGTTGTTTATTGACAATATATTATTTTAAATCATTTCATAATTGCATAGAAATGTAACCTATTTTATTTTATTTTTTAGCGTATCAAGCTTTAAAAATTCATTTGTAATATTTATTTATATGTTTTTGTAAAATAAACGTATAAAAATAAAAAGTGATCGAACCAGTCATTTATTTATATGTTTTTGTAAAATAAACGTATAAAAATAAAAAGTGATCGAACCAGTCATTTATTTATATGTTTTTGTAAAATAAACGTATAAAAATAAAAATAACAATCCTGTTTTGAAAATCAGATATAAATTGTTTTTTTTCAAATATTTTTTTATATTCATACAGTAAAATAATAATAAAAAATAATTTAAAATCTCTAAAAAAAAAAACGTTTGTACAGCAATCACAATCAGTGCCCACACATAATAGGAAGCAGGAGATACCAATAATTCATTCAGAATATGGGCGTTATTGTCATTTAGTGGCCCCCACCGACATCATTACCCAGACTTGGTCTCCAATTTCCAGCTCTCCAAACGGACATAACAGCTACATTATTTTAAAGGAAGCAACAATCTTAGCTTAATGGCTATAAAGTTAATGACTTAATCTGCTGTATATATTGAGATATTTATACGCACCAAGCCTTTAGATTAGTGGAGTCTAGAAGAGACTTAACAGCTACATTATTTTAAAGTAAGCTACATTATTTTAAAGTAAGCTACAATCTTAGTTTAATGGCTGTAAAGTTAATGTCTTCATCTGTTGTATATATTGAGGTGTTTAATTTAACTATTCTTATATTCTTAATTTATCCAATTTTATTCTTTAATATAAGTTAAGTTTCTAATATATTATTTTAGCTAAAATTAAATTTAAAATTTAATAAAGGTAAGGAAGGATTTGTGAAAGTTTTGAAGTTAAAGAATTAGAAAAGTTAAGAAGATAAATAAATAAAGGGTAAAAATAACTAATCTAATGTAGTTGGTATTGTGATGGTTTTTATGGTTGTGATTTGAAAAAAATATGTTTTATAAAAAGTATTTTTAATTAAGGTTGTTTTGATAAAATATATATTTGGTTGAAATTATGGTTGAAATTGAAGTTGAAAAAAATAATTTAATCTATTTAGTTAAATATACTTTTCAAATTGAGGTTATAAAATAACTATATATATATATATATTAATTAAAATATTGTAGATTTAACTACTATGCATCATGAAAATAAACAATACTTGATATAGAATATTTTTTATTATTTTATTATATTATCTATAATTCCATCACGTACGAAATTCATCCAACTAGATCTTAAGGGACCATAACTTCCTGAATATGCAACAACACCAAATAAAATATCATCAAGAATAAAATTAGAATTGCGATTAAATTCTGCAAATGTTATATTATCATGTGATCTTCTTTTGATATGATTATATAGTGCCATTGATGTCACTACAATTATCAACTTGTGTTTTATATGAATAAAAAAACATGTTTTATAAAATCCTTCATCTTTATTTTTATACTCTAAATTTTTTTTTTATCATATTATGTAATGACGAGTATATATAATTAAAAACTTTTTATAAATTCTTTAGTTATTCACGACATCTAAAATTATATAAGAATGAAGATAAAAGAATAGTAATAAATAAGCTAAGTGCAAATTCAATTATATATATATATATATGTATAAGAAATTATTTTTCTATAAAACTCAAAAAATTACAAATTTGCTAAAAAATTCAATTATATGATTTTTATAAGATTTGTATAATAGTAATAATAATTAATTTGTTCTTAAAAGGTATAATGTGATGGTGAAGGGTATGAAATCTGCATATTAGATTTCGAGTTTGAGTTATAACATATATTTTTTATAAAAATTTAATACAATCAAAGATTTTAATGGTTAATCTAAACTTATAAAGTATACTTTTCACAAAATAAGGTTTTTTAAATAAAATAAAAAATAATAATTAATTTATACATAATGATGCTACAGGATAGTGATAATAATTAATTCAAAATGGTTTTTTGCCCTGCTCACAGGCTCCCATACTTCCACGTTATCTTAAGCAGCAGGAAAAGCTCAATTTTCCAATTTTTATTCAACCACAGGTGCAGCCACCATTATTAATGGGCCCCATTATTATAAAAGCCGATTGTAGCATAATCAAATATATATAAAAAGTATGGTTTACTTTAACCTCAAACAAAGTTGCGCCACCAAGCAACAGCTAGATTTTTAAAAAATGCAATTGTGGTTATTTTATAGAATTTTTTAAAAATATATTAAAATAATATTTTTTATTTTTAAAAAATTATTTTTAAGATGAATGTATCAAAATAATCTAAAATATAAAAAAAATAATTTTTAATAAAAAATTAAAAAAATTTAGAAACAAGGGTTGGAGGGCCTCTAAATCTTCCATGGACTCCACTAATCTAAAGGCTCAGTGCACAGACATTGGGCTGGCACAAGACATATCTATTCATCTCAAAATTCTCTTTTAGTGAAATAATAAAAAAGTTTCAAATAATCTAAATTATTTTTTAAAGAATTTTGGTCGATAGATGAATTTTAAAAGCCGAATTAAATATAGACTTTGATCATCATAATCCTAGCTCCATGTCAATCGGATAGGAGAAAAGAATTGAGTAAATCTCATCCAGCCCCAATGTACTGGACTTTTGGATGGGTAATTTTTTTCCAATAAAAATCTCTAAAATTTCTTTAAAATTTTCAGTGGCGTGTTAATGAACTGCATCTTTATCATTAACACAATTTTTTTTTTTTATTTACGTGAGGTGTTCAGGTCACCTTGCGCGCACCATGACTAATCCCCACGGCCCACTGAATACCCTGCAAACCCAGTAAGCATGTAAAGCACCGCAGGGATGACAGACATGCATGCTAGGACTCGAACCCAGGTGCAGTGGAAGGAGACAAACCCCTTCCACCACTAAACCAAGCACTAGTTTACTTAACGCAAATTTATATTGCCTTCAGAGAGATCCCAAAGAATTTTGTTTGCATAGAGCATCAGCAAAATAGGTTTGCAATTTTTCAAAATGGATATGAGAACTTACAAGGGAAAGAGAAAAAAAAAAAACTGCTCATAAATTTTTTTGAACAAAACTAGATGTTTGCATAGAGCATCAGCAAAATAGGTCTGCAATTTTTCAAAATGGATATAAGAACTTACAAGGGGAAGAGAAAAAAAAAAACTGCTCATAAAATTTTTTGAACAAAACTAAATGTTATCTTTTTCATGTAAACATTCATCTATATCTTTTTTTACAGAGAAATTGATTATTTAAATATTTTTTATAGGAATAAATAAAGTGTCAAACTGCATGTGTTATGCATTACTTGATTGTTTCTTATTCTCTTATGATTTTTATTATTGCAACATGTTAGACTCGTCAAAAATAATCTATAATCTTTTATCATCCAATAAAAATGTCAAAAATAACATATTTACTCATCATTATTTTCTTTGATTAAAAACACTAAAATCTATAATCTTTTATCATCCAATAAAACCTAAAAATATAGTTTTCTTAGTTCTAAAATCCAATATAAATTCAGTAACATGATAATATACTAAGCATCTAAATACATATATTAATTCATAATAAGTAGCAATAGAGTTTGACCATAGCTCCAAAGAAGTTCTTTTATTTAATGTTGTTGAAAATAATTAATTAGAAATATGACAAGTATAGCCTAATGCATCACCATAAAATACTTTTCTTAATCATGAATGTGATAATATAAGTTAAATTTTTTTTTTTTACTAATATACAGTTCATGCGTTTTACTACATAAAATACTTTTCTTAATCATGAATGTAAATTTTTTTCTACTAATATACAGTTCATGCGTTTTACCACTTCATTTTATTAAGATGTTTTGTGGATAATAAAATATCACTTGATCTTTTTATTCTTGAAAACTTTAAAGAAAAAATTTAAAATGTACTCATTAATATTATCTGTTTGAAAAATCTTTTTTTTAGTTTAAGTTTCCATTAATTTATAGAGTTTAAAAAAGCTTTAACGTCTTACTAACTAAAACAATCCCTTTCCATACATCAAATATCAATAAAATAATTATAACATAGAGATACAGAAAACAATAGGTGATTTTCTTTTTCTTTTTTAAATCTCACTTAGTCCTTTTTCCATTTATTAGTTTTGATCCAATTGTAAGTAGTAACTTAGAAAATATATGCAGAGGTCTATTTCAAATCCTCAGCTACCCTCGATGCCATTTGGCTATCAAGATGATAGATATAGAGGTAAATTAATCCCCATTATTAATCTTGGTTACAATTAACAGAAAAAAGAGCACTGTTGGCTTTTTCATGCATAGAAGGAGCCCAAAAGCCAGTTACTACGTCCTGATGTAATAGCCATTGTCAGAATCTAGAGCTTTATGTAGTCGTTCTCGATCATCCATTTTAGACTCCAGTAGTTGGCGGCACACTTGTAAGCCCAGTATGCCCATCCAAATTGGGCACGCCCGTAGACTTCGATTTGAGCTTTAGCAAAGTTTTGATAATCTTGCATCGATGCTTCGTTCACTTCCCATTCTCCAGTCCATTCCCCTACAAAAATCTCAGCACACGGTTCAGCATATTACCTTTTGAACTAGTCGGAGCATTTTCTTCAATTGCAGTTAAGAGGTAGACTAGTCTTAGAAAAAACTTCAAGTACTGGTTTTGATTGCGTAAACATTGGTTTTGGACTTACCAACAAAAATGGATGGACCATTGGCAGTGGTCACAGTACCGAGATCACTAGAACGCTGATTATGGATAAAGTCAATGTTCTGTTGCGCATTCATATTACTGAATGAATCTGAGAATAGGTTGTAATAATGCACATCAATGGCTACGCAATGCAGATTGCTTGCAAATGAGAGGAGCTCCTTTGCATCAGCGTTCCCTAGTCGATTGGAGAGGATCACATAAGCATTTTGAGTGTACTTCCTTACGGCATCGTATCCAGCTTGATAATACTTCTTTAGGGTGTCTAGACTGATGCCTGGGGCCATTGGCTCGTTCATCAGTTCGATTGCTGCAAGACTTGTGTTGTTGGCATACCTGTTTAGTAGCAAACATTACATCAGAATTCAAACAATTTTTCATGTATAGGCAACTTGATTTGATTTGGAAGGTAATTCACAATATGGAAAATGTGTAGAAAAAAACTTATCGTCTTACCTCTCTGCAAGGAAATCGATGACAGCCACAGTATCTTGAATGTCGGAATCTCCCCATTCTTGGTACCCATCTCGTGTCCCACTATGACCATTGCCATTCTGTGAACCTTGAATCGCATGCAGATCAACAATTACCTTCATTCCGTATTCCCTACATAAAAATATAGATGTAAATATGTAAACCATCATCAGAGTTATTTATAGAACCTGTACAGAAAAAGGTTCCCAAAAAACAACATTAAACCGCCAATTGATTTCATTTAGTAAAGGATACTCACTGTGCCCATGTAAAAGCATTGTCTAGGGCTTTCAAAGAGCCACTAACAAAAGGTTTGGGCGGCGGATCGCATGCGATCCACCAGCCAACTGGAATTCTGACAGCATTAAGACCATTTGCTGACATGAATCTGAAGTCCTCATCAGTGATGTAAGAGTTCCAGTGATCCTGGGATGAACAGGTAATTTGCAAGTCATTCGTGGTTTAGTTATAGTAGCTAAAATGCTAGCAGCCTAGCACAAACTTCGGTTCTCTTGTTTATGCTATGAATTATAACTTTTACCTGCAAGACTTGAGGGGCTCTGTCTGGACCATAACCATTTGTGAGTTGATATTCACCTCGTATGGCGTTGGGATTGACAATAGTCATTTTGAAGACTGATGGATCACCGTCGTCCCAACCTGAGCCTACATAATCTGCAGTTACCAGTGTCTCTGATATTGCCTGATTACACATCAGAAGCATGGTAATCCTTCATGTAATGCGGATGATATATTAAGCTAACACACGCATATGGTAAGGGTATTAAACTGATAGTTAGCTACGCCACTTATAGTACAATGATCCAAAGTGTTGATCACTAGTATGTACACTACTGCTCTTTTAACTGATAAGAGCCTGGAGTCACTAAAATGATCATATTTTAGTCCACAAGACCCACTTATAGTACAATGATCCAAAGTGTTGATCACTAGTATGTACACTACTGCTCTTTTAACTGATAAGAGCCTGGAGCCACTAAAATGGTCATGTTTTAGTCCACAAGACACACTTTTCATGGTATGATTTTCCTGTATCAGATTTATTTTGTACACCAAAGGAGAGATTTACCATCAATCTAAAACAAACTAGTTCCGTGAAAGTTCCAGAGCTCAAATGACAAAAAAATAAAAGAAATTAAAAGTCCTATTGTTGAGAAAAAAAAGAAAGAATAAGGAAAACCTGAAGGAAGAGTCCATTTGATGCCTGGAGGCGAACTATACTCTGATCATCATTTTTCCTTATGATCTGGAACGTTTCTGGGTTTCCAGCAGTATCTGAAACTGCTGTTACTTCGTTTCCTTGATCCTCTAGCCCCACAAACTGCTTGTTGAACACCCTAAAGTTGAAATATGTCTCATTGATCCTCCACAACTGTGTAATAAAATCGTCAGTAAAATAAAGATGAGAAACATGCAGCATGAGATTAAAATTATAAACAATGCTTACAAGTCCAGTTAAAAGCACAGCAAAGTAAAGGTATCCAGGACAAATAAAGGTAAATAGTAGCACTGATGTAATAAGTCTAGCTAGATCATTAGTTTAAAGATTTTAGTTACTCTGAAAGTTTCCCAGTCAGAGGCGGAGGGCCGATTGGCTACAAGAATGGTTCCACCTCCATTTTCTGAGCAAAGATACTTCTGTAGCGTTGTGGAGAAGAACCGCACTTGAGTTCCATCCTACAGTAAATTTAAAACACAAATTAGTAAAACGACAATAAGATATACGTGGGTGTGAGAGAGAGAGAGAGTGAGAGAGAGATTATCGGTGTGAGAGAGAGAGAGAGTGAGAGAGAGTGAGAGAGAGATTATGAGCTTAATTTAAAACTAGTAGTAAATACGACGAAAACAATTATACCTGGTAGTAAGGGAAAATAAAGTAAAGAAGTTGCATGGTCTTTCAAGGACTCAGACGTCCAGAGAGGTCTTAATCAATGAAGTGAGGGCTTGGGATAGATATAATGATGTTGTGGTGGATAGTGTACACATGAGGCCTGAGTGATATTTTGATGATCAAGAATCAGGATGATAGAGTAAAGCTATAATTACCAGGAGATCATTGTTGGGCATCCCATCATAGAGAGAAGGTTCCATCCACCCTTCATTAACGAGCCAATTTCCTAAATTCACAGCTTTAAACGGCTGTGCAAGAGAAGGAGATGGAGCACAGAAAAGCAAGAGTAAAGGAAAGACCAGTAAATAGTAAGCCATTTTTATTCGCACCCTTTGTCTGTGAATGGAAGGATTTTGAGGTTGGCGTTTCAGAAGCTAGAAGCTAGAAGCATATGTACCCTGGGCCCTTCCTTTTTTTTGCCTTTTTCCTTTTCTTTTGGGGGGTGGGGGCGGGGGGCGGCGCGGCCTTGCCCCAAAGACATTGCAAAAGGAAGGGAATCTCTACACCAAGCTATTGGATAATCAAAGGAAATTTCTCTTTGATCATAAAATGTCTCTTATGGTTATTAATCAACAGAAAAACAAGGAGGACAACAATCTGCTTTGCTTGCATGGCAGGAGTCCTGAAGCCAGTTCCTTCTAAAGTAGCAGTTTTTACATTTATTATAAGAAAAAATATTTATAATTTTGAGTTTTATCAATCAGGTTATCTTCCAGTAAAAAAATAATGAAATTGTCGCAAGGAGAAAATACCAAGAGGGCAATTTAAAAACTTAGCTATTAGGAAAATGGGCCGGATAGATGAAGCCCACATTAAAACCCTTACACATCAAGCAGCTGTTTGTTTCCCTTGTCTCTTCACTTGGTCTTGGGTTTGAAATTAGAGCGTTTCCAGTTACGAGCACAGTGTCTTGTTCTCTTCTTGGGTCCCCACAGCCTCAGGTACTCTCTCTTCCCCCCCCCCCCAATTACTGTTACTGGATGCCTGTTGGAAATGAAGAAGCAAGCAAACTTTAAAATCTAATGATTGCTCATCTGGTTTAAGTTTTGATTGCCAAAACTAAATGAAATAAACAATTTTTGAATTCTCACTCAATTTTGCTTAATCAGTTGGTATGTTATAAGTTTATCCCATAATTTTATCATGTTATTAGTTACTGAATTTGTAGTCCGTAGCTGTTTGCATCGTATTTTTTTTGCTTTCATTTAAGATTTTTAGTCACTGTTATATGTGAGCGAAAATAGGGAATTTAGGATTTGTGGAGCTTTGTTGCTGTCAAATTGGACTTTTGGATTCTTTTTTCATCTTTTGGGTTTAGGGTTTTTAATTTTGTGTCCAGTTCAATCTTGGCACTGCAGGAGTCGGCCAAGTTTTTATTTGGGAATTGAAGGTGAAGGTTGAAACAGTGCAGCAGCAGAAGGATTTAAGAAAAATGGCGGCAGCTGGTGGTAAGGCAAGTAGAAGTTTGAAGAAAGCAGTAGTGAAGCACCCAGCCTATGCTTCTTGGGGGAGTGTTGTTAATGCCCAAGTCAAAGCCAAGCTGACACCATCCTCTAAGTGTAACTTGGGTAAATTTCTCGGGATTCGTGATCCTCCTGCCTCTGATATCTCCCAACTCATCACCAGGTTCATCAAGCTCAACAATCGTCAGGTTTCTATCTATTGTCACTACCCTCTTTTAGTATTACTAGAAATAGCAATAGGAATGTTGCCGGAAAATGTTTTCTTTGATGGACTTGCATACATTTCTTGCAAGTGATTGACGAATAATGGATGAATGGCTTGCAGAACCCTGGCATGAAGAAAGATGTTCTTTCAGAGGAGAAGTTAAGGACCATGTTAGAAGGCAAAGAGAGAGTTGGAGTTTCAGAGATCGCTAAATTGCTTGCCCAACAATTTCCTAAACGTCGCTGAGATTTCTCTTACCTTCTCATTTTGTTCTTGCCCAGGCTTTCCAACCTCATATGCATTATTATGAGATTTTCTCCATTTCTTTGTTTGATAGCTTCTTAAGACTTGATGATAATCGGGTGTAGAATTGGTAACATCTTTTGAAGACCTGCTAATTTATGACACTTCAATCGGTGGTCTTGTGCTGTGACTTTTCAAATTTTTCTATTGCGAATAAAAGTGTTACCATCACCAGTTTCTGTTTTTTTTTATTGTGTCAAATGATGCTGTGCTTTTGGGGTTTTTACAATTTTTATATATCATGAGTGCTATGGTAAAACCAAAGAAAGAGTTCAAAATTTCTGATACACACCATTCAGCCTTGTAGTGGGCATGTGATTTTATGCCTAAAGTGCAGTTTATGTGTGTGCTATCTATATATTAAAGGTACAAGAATCTTTAAACCGCATAAAGCAAAAGAAAAAAATTTGTTGACAGCGGTTATGTTATACTGATCATATGTTTGATTTAAACAAGGCTAACAATTCATATTAATCCCTATGCATTAATTGCACATACAGGTTTGAAACCCTGCACTTTCAGAGAATCCATCTTTGACAGGCTTACATGTAATTTGCAAGGTTGGGGATCGATCAGGGTCTGGGTATATTTGCGGTCTGAGCCTATATAGGAGTCTCCTCTAAAATTCATTCAGTAGTGATCATCCTGCACATCAACTAAATGTATCTGTAACTGACTTTAAGGATTCTGGTTTCTGAATGAAACTTCATTTAATGGTGTGTGCTGTTTTTTCTAGCTGTTTATGTTGACATTCTTGGCCCTGGCATGTTTATAAATGTTTTTGCATTGTGTGTCTACTAGATTTTTGGTACACTGCTTCCATCTGGGACATGAAGTGTCAAGTTTTGTTCCATTTATTCCTTATCATGGCGCATCAGGGTTCTTGAGTGGTGTTAGTGGTCACATTAACCAATACAGTTTTTAATCTGGATAGGATCTGTTATATTACAACCTGTAGGTGAGGCATTTGTAGCGTTGGCCAACCAAAAATGCTAACTCACAAGATGCCCGGTCTTTTAGAGTGAGAGGCTTGCATGTTTACTGGTAGGAAAGAAGTTGGTGAATCCCATACTGAAGTTCATTCCTTAGTTTCAATATAGCGTGCTATACGAGAGAAAATACACGATTCATTCAGGCATTGTCATTATCTGTCCATATTCAACAGCTAATTAGCAAAGAAGTGGTGAATCTATTCAGTGGAGGGTTGCAAAGAGTTTTGTTGTCCTTCTGCCTTAGAAAATTACGTGTTTTAAACTTTCATCTGCTTTGGCAAAATAAATATATGTCTGGATTTGTATTCTTTCTGCTTTAATGCACTCTATCAGTTTGTAAAAGGTTTATGTTTGTTCACTTTCTTGCTTCCTTGAAAATAGACAACCGGTTTTCTCATGGTGTCTTGGATTGAAGGTGGTTTTAGGGAATTTTGTGCGTGGTTGGTCAATACTAGGGTCCCTTACAATTTGTCGTGAAAATTTTCAATCATTGATTTTGTTTTGCATTTCTTCTGCTTTTTTCCCCAATTTTTCTTGCAATAAAGTTAGCATTGTCATCTAATTAACATTTCCTTTTGAACCTCCGTTTGGATTTGTTGTGCAACAAGAAATATAAGTTTCTGAATGCAAGAATCACTGGAATGTTTCTTGGGCTGTTTGACTATTTTTGCATTTTCTTATGTTAGTCGAAGCTCCAACTGTGTAGATTGCTTAAAGTAGTCAAATGCATTAAATTATTTGGTGTTATTAACAATTCCATTCTCCTAATTTATTTTTTCATTTGTGCAACTCATATAATGGTCTTTAGAGATATCTACGTGTGTTGATGCTCTGGCTCTGGCCATGTCACTTAGTAATGGAGTGGTAATTTAGTTATGCACTCGGCGATATCAGAGCAAGTTTTACCTGAATATCTCGCTGTTGCATAAGATATTCATTTTTTTCATACATTTTACAATTCCGTTCTCGTTCACACCCCCGAACTTATTAGCGGCCAAGAATGGACAGACTGTACTCAAGGAAAGGAGCTGAAAGCTTTGATTCAACGGTCATATTACTGCCCAAATGCTCTTGTAACTTTGACAGATTAATGTTGGTTCAATCATTCTCTCCTGTAAATCTTTTGATCCATGTGTTATAGATCTTTCTCGACCACACCTAAGTATTGGCTGGAGTTTCCACTTTATTTGGTGTTCGCTAGTTATGCGGAACTTATAAGTGCTATCTCGAGTCTTGACTAAAGTTATTCTTAAAGGAGTTTGCTGGATTCATATGCTGCAGCTGTATTTTATTTCCTCCGGTTTAGATTAGGAAAATTAAGTGTGGGTGATAATGTCTATTCTGGGTGTACGCTGTATACTTTTGTGCATTCCTAGATTTTGCTATAACTACGGGACCAAAAAAGGTTCCAAGCTGAGTTGTTGAAATGCACGCCTTGCATTTGTGTTTCAATTAACATACAACTATTTCATCATCATAGTTTCGAGATTTTTGAATTTCCTCTTCTTTTTCTTGTACCCGATACACGTTATGTAACGTTCGTGTGATATTACTTGTTGCGGTCACTGCGGTAGGGCTTGTTGTTTACAAGAGCCGGTCATTGCTGCAGCTTATAAATAATGGGTTTGTTGGAGGCTTGTAACTCTGCTGTGGAAGGAATGCAAGATTACAAGCTGAGAGATGAGATTAAACTACTGTTTTTGGGACTCAGTTTCATGCGTTCTCGTGTCTGTTAAAGGAGAAGAGTAAACCGGACCCAACGTGCTGAGAAATTTGAAGTGGAAACTAGCAAACTTTTCATGGAAATAACAAACATGAAAATTTTGGTATTTGGCTGGAGTTTCCACAAAACCCTCGCCCCTTTCCATGCTGTCTTTGTCCTAGTCTCTGTATTTCAGACCCCCATACGTTGAGCCCGTATACTGTGTTCTCGGCAATGCCTGTTCGATTAATGAAGACATCGTTTTTTCTGTCAAACGAAACATGGAAAAGAGAAATGAAAAGGATAGGCTTCACGTGTAGCGGCTCCCCCATAGAGGACTCTTCACACAAAGTGAAAAGAGTAAAGGAACAGGTTTGAGTCACATCTGTCTAATGGCAGACCAGAAGAAAGCGCCCATTCAATTTGATGCAACCTTCTAAAGTTGCCCTTTGGAGGGAGACCTACGATGCCTAAAGGTCCCTCGCCAGAACAAGTAGTCAGCGGTTTAAATAGGTAAACGGATTCACAAATCCAGGGCAGCAGCATCTAGAGATCATGTAGGCGTACCGCGGCCGAGGCTTATTGTACCGGCTG